GGATGAGCGTGGACCCAGGGCGGCGGTGGGAGTTAACGAGGAGGGATTGGGTGCGCAGGCCCACTGGTGGCATCAGAGACGAGGCTCATTACACCAGAGGCGATGCTGTCGACAACGAGGCTGTTACACCGGTGGGGACAGTCAGAAATGAGGCTGCTACACCAGAGGCAACACTGCACCAGGAGCCCGCGGGGGCCCTCAGAAACAGGCTGCCTGATCAGGAGGAAGGGGAAGACCCCCTGGGCCGGGGGTGATGGAGGGGAAGGTGGAGCAGATGCCGTCAGTCACCTTTAGTTAGGATTTATCCAGTTGTTCTTCTAACTCGCAGCGAACCAGCGGCAGGAGGCTGTTCGCCCAGCAACAGCGGGCCGACCCCCGGCCGTGCCTGCGTTACCTCTGTTAACTGAAAATCAGCCAACTCCAAGGAAAACGTGCCTTGCACTGGACGTAGCCACACAGTTTGGGAGAGGCACGCTGCGACACAGAGCAGGGAACAGCCCGAATCGCAAGGCTGAGCCTTACCTTGCGGGTTACCGGCAGGCCGCAGCCGCCCGACCCGCTGGGATGGGAAACCCCACCAGGACTGATGGCACCTCTCCCGCCGGGAAGTGTTTCCCTCCGTACGCAGAGGTCCACCGGAGGGATGTGGCGGTCACCGGAGCATCACCGTCTGTATCCAGCCTCGCCGGTCCTGCAAGCATTGGGAAATTCGTCAGCCAGGTTTAAACATGCCTAAATATCGGTGCATAAACGCACGCATAGAGGTGTTTTGAGCAGCTCAAGGCTTTTGCGCAATCGCTGATAGAGGAGAAGGATGGCAGAGCGCTCCCAGCCCTCCCGCCGGCTGCCTCCCCGAGCCCACGGAGCAAGATCGGCCGCGTACAAAGCGGGGCCTACGGGCTCCTCTAGGAAGGAAAGCTTCAACGTTAAAAAAAAAAATTCCCTCTGCAGATGCTCTCTGTCCTCCAGTTTATTTAGTTAAATCCACTGCCCACTGAGGAAGGGACAGCGCTGCAGTTATAAAGCTTTATAGAGGCGCATGTCGGCCAGCTGGCTTTGCAAGTGGCGCCCGAAACCACGTGCTTGGGCTTCTGAAGCTTAATTACTGTCACCATGAAGCCGTTCGATTGTCTTCTAATTTGACCGGCTTTCAAACAATCCCTTACCTGGCCCTGAAACAGAATGCATTTCTGTGTTAACGGGGTTACATAAACCCAGGCTGGGTACTGGGTCAGACCCGAGGCTGCCTTTGCTCTAACACCTCCAAGCTACTCATCTCGCGGCGGCAGGCGAAGGCGACGCAACGCTGACGGGCGGCGTCTGCCAAGAGAAAACCCTCCAGTCGCCTCGCCCGGGGAAGCGGACGCGCGAGG